TTGGAGTTACATATTGGTGCTCACCAGGAATGCATAGGCAAAATTGCACAAATTTTCACTTGAAAGAATAGTGGCGATCTTGGGATTTTTTTCTGTTCAATTTTCAAACTGTGTAAATTTAATACACTTCATCTTCAGCATGTTTAGTGCCACTTTTGTAAGTAACCACGCCCCCGTCCAGGCCACGCCCCTTCCGCTTTTTTCATCACTCGCCATTGCCATGTATGGAAGTTGCAAATGGAAGAAAAATGTGCACAGCTCTTTGTCCTAAGAGTGGATATTGCTTCTCGACATTCAGCCGGAATTCACTCAGTGTCTAAGATGTGAAACTTAGTCTCAATGTGGAGTCAGATGTGATGTCTATGAACTGCTCCTCCTCTGCAGAGCTGAAACCAGTTGGAGCTGGTGCATTATAAGGATCTCTCACCCAGTCATACTGGGAACTATTTTCAGGGAAGTACTTTGTGAAGAATCCCATCAGTGATGAAATCTGCTGCTTAAAATATGGATTCACTGAGATGGCATCATAGTCAGTAGTGTCAACAAATTCCTGCAGGTTCTCAAATGACTCAGTATTTCCTTCATCAAGCCGCCTGCCCCACATTGCAAGCTTTCGAGTGAAAGAGCTGATCTTGTCTGTGACACCTGAGGGAGGTGTTGATTTTTCCCTTGAAGCTGTAGCTTTCGTTCATTGAGCTTTCGAAATATGTCACTCAGGTAGGCCACTTTCATCAGAAAGTTCTCATCACTAAACTTTCTTGAAACTTCATACTTGTGTTCCTGCTCCAAAAACATTCTTATCTCCTCTCTGAGCTCAAAAACTCGGGACAGCACTTTTCCTCGTGACAGCCACCTTGCCTCACTGTGAAACAGCACAGCTTGATGTTCAGCTCCCATCTCCTCACAGATAGCAGAGAAGACTCTTGTTTTTAGTGGTCTGGTCTTTATGAAATTGACTACACCTACAACATCAGTCATAGCCTCACTTAACTCAGCGAAAAGGTGCTTTGATGCCAGTGCTTCTCTGTGTATAACAGTGTGTCCACTCAGCATTCGGTGAGGCCTTCTTGATGAGAGTCCGAAGTCCTTTTCTCATCCCTGCCATGGTCTGTGCACATCACTGCAAACACCAATGCAGTTCTCCCACTTTAGCCCATTCTCAGTCAGGAAGCAGTCTATCATTTCGAAGAGCTCTTCAGCTGTGGCTCTGTCTCTGACATATTTACAAAAAAGTAGATCCTCATCCAGGGAATTTGTCATGTCAAAACGTACATAAGCAATAAGCAAACAGTCTTTGTTGCTGTCAGTTGCTTCATCAAATTGTAAAGGAAAACGTTTGTCTTTGAGCTTATCAACCAGCTGTTCTTTAAGATCGTCCGCAATGTCATTTATACGTCTAGCAATAGTGTCATCGGACAGAGGGATAGTTTTTATTTTTGAAGCACTTGCGTCATCCAGCATGACAGAGACCATGTCTAATGCTGCAGGCAGTATCAGCTCCTCTGCTATGGTGTGGGGTTTTTTGCACTGAGCAATTTGGTACGCCACCTTATAGGATGCCAACAACGCTCGCTGGTTGACTGAAGTAGCAGTCACAAAGCGAGATGATTGTTGGCAGTATTCTGCACGTTTTCGATGAAAAAAATCAAGCGGCTTATCAACGTAATTGGGGTGTAGTGTCATCAAGTGACGACTTAATTTATTTGGCTTCATGCTGTCCGCTGCCAACATTTACAGACAGAGTAAACACACCGGTCTTTCCTCGTCTCTGACCGTCGTCACCGTGAAGCCAAGCGCGACGTACGCTTCGTCATACTTCCTCGTCTTAGCTTTCGTTAGTCTCTTGGTCTCCGTCTTCCTCTGCCTGTCTTCTCATGCCTATTAAATATTTTTTCATTATGTCATTTGAGGGTCTGCTACACTTTGTTACCACACTTCCTACTCATAGCTGTGCTGTGTGCAAAGCGCGCATGCTCAGTGCAAACAAAACCTCTTCACCTACGTGCGCACACTCTGCCAATGAGAGCGCCACTGCCCCCTAATGTAGTTGAGGTGCAATTGCACTTTATTCTCGGACAGTTAAAAAAAAAAATCAAAATAAAAAAGCATGTTCCCGAGGTCAAGCGCGCCCCCCTTGACGGAACCTGGGGGGGCGCGCCCCACTATATGAGAAACACTGACATAGCCCAACATCTTGCCCAATGAAATCTGAGGCTGAAGGAATGCAAACAAGTCATCACCCAGATTCCTGACGCGTCATGACAATCTTGTCCACTTTCCTGTTTGTTCGAGCATCTCAGCTTCCTTTCCCGAGACTTTTTCATGCACTCAGTTAGCTACCAAAGTGAGTTGGTTAAAGACTGAGTTTGATCGGTGCTTCTCTGACTTCAGAGCACAGCAGTGTAGCGTTGAGATCTTTGCCAATCCTTCTCACCACTGATGTCTGCAGTGCGCCCAAAGACCTCCAAATGGAGTTCATTGAACTTCAAACTACAGTCGTCTGAAAACAAAGTTCCAGAATGCTGCAATCCAGGATTTTTACGGGCTGCTGGCCCTCACTTAATGCCACAGCTTCGATTTCAATGCTGCCCATGTTCTGTCCATTTTTGGGAGCACCTATCTGTGCGAACAAATGTTTTCCATCATGAATTTGAACAAAACCAAGCACGGATCATGCCTGACTGATGATAACCTTCATGCTGTTCTACGGATTGCATCAGCACAGGACCTAAAACTAGACATTGACACACTGGCAAAGGTAAGCATTTTTTTCCCAGAAATGTAAAATAAAATATAATTCAACACGAATAAGAGTAGTTAAACCCTTAAATTTAGGAGGGCCCACCGAAGGGCACTCCGTCATCTGTCAAAACAAATCGCTGATGCACGTCGTCAGCTGAGTACATGTGTGAACATGTTATACTTCTTATAAAAGCTGAGTTTCAGGAGATTTGAATGGTACCCTACATGTTACAATTGTCGAATTTGAACCGGAACTTGGGGAGACCTAAAGCTTTGTTCCTGTAGTGTTTTCAAGTCCTAATCAACATTCTAAATCCATTTTCAAGGCAGATTTTGTGAAATTAGACAAACTAAAGATTTGCCTTTTTCTTCTGTTTTCGAACATCCGTAGTTCAGTGGCAGGAGCACTTACACATATTCTTACTGTATGGGAGAAATATTCATAATGATAACATTTTGAATATTTCAAAAAGAGACCAAAACTATGCTGATACTCCAAATGGTTCAAGAACAGCTACAAATTTACCTTGGGTGCACCTTTCCATCGGCATTTTTCGGAACATGATCAATGGATTGTAGACAGGGCATCCACTTAGTGTGTTTAAGGACACGCAGCATCTCCTCATCACAAACTTAGCTAAAAACTTGACCAATATACTGTAGTTTTAAACTCAGTCAACTTTTGTGTTGTCATTTTTAGTTGATTATGTATTATTTATCTGCATCTGCCTGTTGCAGATATTCAGTTTGTAGGTGAGCAGTTTGGGTTTCATAAGATGACATATTCAAAGGATTTATGTTACAACAGAGCAAAAAGCAAACTTTTTTTTCTGTACAGATGTAACGTTGTAATGTAATATTCATGACAACAGAAATCAGACAATCTTTGTGTAATATTTTAAGGACCGGTATGTGTATTTATTTGCATATAAACCTTCATGGTTATAGTTTTCTGTGAAGTCTTGGTGAAATTATTCTTTGAGAATATTTTGTTAACAATTACTTCTGGGTTGGGTCACATATACCAAAAGGAGAGTCAGAGAGAGAGAGATTGGTGGAGACAGAGACGAGATTGTAATTTCATGTTATGTTTTTTTATTATTTTCGAATTATCTACTGCTGGGTTACAAGGCCAACCGTATATTGTATTTTATTTATTGAATGTTTGAGTCAAAGAGATAAATGTACATATCGATTGGATCTTGTATGGAACAACTTTATTTTACTTTTCACAGCATTTCAGAATGGACGGTTAATAAAACGATTGTGGACCTCATTGCGGGATGCGGTTCTTTACCAGTGGAGATGCACTCCACTGCTCGTGCTGTGAATGCGTGTGACCTTGGAAATACGTCGCCAAACATCTGGTGGTCCGAAAATAGTGGTGACATACTCTCATTTAGCGATGATGGAAGCGTGGGTAAAATGACGATAACAGACTGACAGACTGGCTCACGGGCCTAAAATAGTGGTGACCAACAGTGGCCTGTTCGTGGTCTCTGTGTATGGAGTTGTCATCAGATTCCTACAAAGTCCTTTACTTATGTGGTCAACACAAGATCAGGATTAACCCTTTCATGCACCAATAATGATAACCTGTAACCTGATAACGTGATAAGCTGTCCACTGTAGTAACTGCTGTCCCTGAAAGGGTTAATGTCAGACATTTTGATCAACATTTGTCGTTTTTTTTTTTTTTCTCTCTGCAGGCTTAACTTTCAAATACAACTCCAGCTATTTCAAATTGTGCTTCGGGGTCAGGCATCTTTCTTGACTCTTCTGCAATAATGCTTCAGGAGGCTCACAGTACATGCACACATGTTTTGGATCTTAAGTGGTCTCTTAACATTCAAACTACTTGATATCTTCCAGAACATGGAAATAATTGGTCAATCACGGAGTAACCAATCAGTACTTTCAACCAAATCCCTTTATGTTTTTGGCTGCTGTACCAACATAGTCAAACAGAACACAATGTGATGTATAAAATGTATTTCACTCCCATACCAACACACCCTCCCACAAAAAAGACCTCACAGCATGCACATAAATTCTTCTTTTTTTTTTTTAAATAGAAAATGTTGTCTGATGTAAGTGTGTCACAGGATATTTTCGCCTCAAGCAGTTTTTGGCAATACCAAATGCTGGACTGTTTGTGGGGTTGTGTCAACTCCAACAAGTTATCAACTGTATCTACGTTATCTGTTACATCTTCTGTTTCTATTGAATTGTATTTATCTTTCTAATTATTACTGAAGCTCACAAGGATCCTCCTTTGGCCTGGAAGAAGAACTGTCTCATCCAAACTACGTTCTGGAGCCCCTGTTCCAAGTCCTGTGGCCTGGGCATCTCTGTGCGTGTCAACAATAACAACCACAAATGTGAGATGAGGAAGGACATGCGTCTGTGTCTACTTCGCCCATGTAAAAAGAGTGTTATCAACAGCATTCAGGTGGTTATAAAAACATTCCCCTCAAATTGTCGGATTAATGTTGTACATGTTTTTAAATCGGTATCAATGAAATGACTTTCAATTGTCAATTCTAGGTGCCAAAAGGGAAAACATGCCAACCACAATTCCAGCCAAAACGAGGGGAAAAGTTTGTGCTTTCGGGCTGCACAAGTATCAAGAGGTTCAAACCGACGTACTGTGGTATTTGTGCTGACAAGCGCTGCTGTTCCCCCAATAAGTCAAAGATGATCATGGTTAACTTCAACTGCCCAGGAGGCTCGAAGATAGAATGGAAGATGCAGTGGATAACATCTTGTAGCTGTCAGAGGAAATGCACTGATTCAGCTGACATGTTTTCAGATCTGCGTTTAATGTAACCAAGCCGGTCGTGATGGGCATAATGGTTATTTTCAGTATACTGAATGAGTTCATTTAAAAGATTCGAAGAAAGTTGTTCAACAAATTGTTTATTTGTGAAAGACAACGGCAGTATATTCACTCACTGACTCATTCATGAATGACAACAGCATGGTAGTACCTTCGCTTCAGTCCCCTCGCCACCTGCAGTGCATGCTGGTCATTCAGTGGTCATGCACCGAAGATTCACGAGTAGGTAAAAGTCTGCAGTTCCTATTCTGTGGTCAGCCGACACGCTGAGCTCAAATGAATTAAGAAAAGATGCTTATACGCAAAATGTGTCTGTGTGTGTGTGTGTGTGTGTGTGCGTGTGTGTGTGTGTGTGTGTGTCCAGAAATTATACACACTCGAAGGGTATGAATAATTTAGTGTTTGACTAGGCCTATCCCTATTACAAATAAACTAGATGCAATCCAATTAGTGATGCTTCAATTGATCGGTGGACGCGACCAAAGCTTTTAATTGCCGATCGATCACACTATGTATCTAATTATTCTGTTATGGGGTTCACCAACTACCCCAATATATTTCATTGATATTGCTATTTCATGCAACTAACAAAATAAATGAAGTACATTATATATTACTGCATCCAGTGGTCAGCACGACGACCTCACAGTGCAGAGGTGCAGGGTTCGATTCCGGCTCCGGTCTCCCTATGTCAAGTTCACGTGTTCTTCCCGTGCCTGCGTGGGTTTTCTCCGGATTATCCCACATTCCAAAAACATGCATGGCAGGCTGATTGAACACTCGAAATTGTCCCTAGGTGTGGTGTGAGCGCGGATGGTTGTTCATCTCTGTGTGCCCTGCGATTGGCTGGCAACCAGTTCAGGGTGTCCTCCGCCTACTGGCCGACAGTGACAGTGAGCAATTGACCTTGATGTTATGATTTCACACGCAACTTAAAGTCACGGTTTGTTTAAAAAAAAAAATAAATAAATAAATAAATAAATAAATCAGTAAATAAATGTATTCCGCCATACAATGCACTCTTTGAACCGAGTGGGTAGATCACATGAAATCCCTGTTGCAGTATTGCTTTGTTCTATCCATCGGCGTCACAAATACAAGACAAAAAATATTGCACAAATTTTGGCCTTGACAGAAAAAGCCCCCTGAAAATTGTTTGAGAATTGAGCAAGCTATGTCTTATTTTCAGTGCACATGCATTGGCTTCCATGGGAACGAGCTTCACCGCCGGCACAGGGCTCCCATTAGCATCTCGCATCAGCAGTTGGAAACCTTTGATGGCCGCAAAGAGTTTCAGAATGGGTGGCAGTTGCCGTCAGGGATCTATATACTTCAAGTGTTATCACTGCAGTAATCTCAATAGACAATCTTATCTTTCTTTATTCACATATTTAGGGTGTGACAGAGAGCGACAATATCAAGTCAGGTCAGGTTTCTTCTTCTTCAAGGTTATGTAGGTACCACACAGTGATCAGATAGACAAACTACCGGTGAAATACAAAATATTATTGGAAGCACTCTTCTTATCTTTTACAGCTTTTTTTTAAATTATACCTAATGAAATGAATGATGAAATTATTCATTTCATACTCGACTTCGGTAGGACTGGCAACAGGAATAAGCCCCCTTTGAATCCAAATGAAATTCCATTCTGATTTGCCCCGTGATGAGTATTTTCATTCCATTTAGTAATTTGTTCAATAAATTCTAATTGGACGACAGTTGGACTACAAACTCTATGTAAACGTGAGTTCGTGTTTCGGTATAAGACATTGGCAAACATCTCCACCTGTTTTTTGACATGTCACAGATCAACATAGTAACTGAATCATAATTTGTGCATTTTCTGTACCATTTTAAGCAGTGTTGTGTCTTTGAATAATAAAGGGATTGAAATGTAACAATGTATTTATTTTTTTAAATCTGATTCATCAATTAAGCGGCACGTCGGTCTCACACTATAAAGGTGCAAAGTTCGATTCTGGCTCCAGCCTTCCTGTGTGGTGTTTGCATTACGCCCGTCATAAAGGCCCTCCTGAAGGAGAAGGAGAGGGCTTTTGTATTGAGAAACAGAAAGGAGCTGAAGGCCATGCAGATCCAGCTGAGGAGAAGGATCAGAGAGATGAAAAAGGCCTACAAGGTGAAGATGGAGCTTCCAGGCCAGAAATGTCACTGGTGTCTGGAGAGGCCTGAAAACCATTTAAGGCCACAAAAGCCCAAAGACAGAGACTGTGAGGGACAAGGACTGGGCAGACGAGCTAAACCGTTTTTTTCAATCAGTTTGACTAGACGTCTGTCCCTCACCCGGTCCACCAACTCCCCTCCCCTCCTCCTCTCACGACCAGCTTCCAACACCAAACAACTGCCCTCTCAGCCAACCCCCCAAGGTGGACCACGACCTCATATCATGGATTACAGATTATCTCACAAACTGGCCACAGCCATGAGGGCAAAGGGCTGTGAGTCGGACAGGCTTCTTTGCAGCACCGGGGCACCGCAGGGGACTGTCCTGGCTCCATTCCTGTTTACTCTCTACACCTTGGACTTAAGCTACGTTACTCCACCCTGCCACATTCAGAAGTTTTCTGATGACTTCGCAATCATCTGCCTCATTATGGACGGAGACAACACAGATGCTCTGATCAGGAAGGGGCAGAGCCGGCTCTTCCTGCTCAGAAAACTGAGGTCTTTTGGAGTTCAGGGGTCACTCCTTAAGACCTTCTATGACTCTGTGGTGGCCTTAGCCATTCATTATGGCATAGTCTGCTGGTCAGGCAGCATCTTAGCCCGGGACAGAGAGAGACTGGACTGACTGGTCAGGAGGGCCAGGTCTGTCCTGGGCTGCTCCCTGGACACTCTGGGGGAGTTGGGCAACAGGAGGATGCTAGCCAAGCTAAAAGCTATGAAGGACAAACCCTCCCACACCCTCCAGGCCAGCCTGACAGCACTGGGCAGCTCCTTCAGCCAGAGATTGACACACGCGTGCTGCAAGAAGGAGAGGTACCGCCACTCGTACCTGCCGACTGCTGTCAGTCTATTGAATAGACAGACCTAAAAACCTGGACTCACCCCCACTCAGCCATTTTTAATATGCTGATATTTATATTTTATAATTTACTGATATACTTTTTGGTCTTTCATATATATATACATCAGAGATGAAAGTCCTCCGGATTTTCCCGGAATTCCCAGTTTTTCAAATTTTTATGAAAATTTCTCCGGAGAATTGAGGAAAATTTGCATAAAATTAATCCGGATTTTAGTTGACACAATTTGAACGAAGACGCGTTTGAGTTCGTTGTATTGCTTTCACGAGCGCAGCCATATTGAGGCACTAACACTAGTAACAGTAAAGAGATTTTTGTTTATGTAATAACGACAGAAGACATGATGGCGTTTGACTAATGGTTTAGTAGATTGAATGGCAACTCGCAACAACAGTAGCAAGCGTCATTTTGCCTCTTGGGTTATACCATCTCAACTAGAACGTGGGGGATAGTCCCCACACATTTTTTGTCTCTTTATAAACACACCTGCTAAACCCCAGTGGAACAAATAAAAGACGCCGTGGACAAGAAAGTTGTCGTAAAAAATATATTTGGCCAAAAAGGGAAAAACACAGATTGGCAGAAAATCGTGTCCGTCTGACTTCGAGTGTCGTCTCGGCTAACTTAGCTTAGCTGTTGTCGTGTGGGACGTCATTCGCGTCGGCGCCGATTGGTTGAAATCAGAAAACGCGCTTGCGTAGATGTTCGCACTGAAGCACGCACAGCAGAGAGCAGCGGACTATCTACTGCTGAGGCTCGCTTAGCTTGAGTGGCGTCGCAACAACAGTAATACCTTCGCCTCGCATTCTCATGGCTTCG